ATTTCATATGCTGACTTTAGAAAATATAACTCCATTATATTGTCCTTGCTTTTGTCAGTCTCCTATTAAGGGCAGAAGCCATCTTAGAATCAGCATTTGACAATAAGCTAGGCATTTGGACTTTTATGTACTATCACCACCATTCTACTAAATTGGATGTTTTTGTGCCACCTGTTACTGTGTAGTTTCTAATTATATTCTGGCTGACAGATACATCACCCTTCATCCATCACAATCAGCAAACAAATCCTACAGATTTTACTTTCATGTTCTACCTGCAAAATGTCACTACTTATTTACTTTACTTGTAGTTAAAAATTACCTCTTGCTCTCTATACCTACTGATATAATCTTAGCTGACACCTACATTATCTCTTGTCTGAACCATGACAGTATTGTCCTAACTGGATTTTCCATTACCAAACCATCTTACACACTACTGCTAGTTCAATCTATGTTACTGAGCAAAATTCAAAATGGTATTTATCAAATAATAGCTACTAAGGACATACTATTTGCTAGGTACTGTGTTAAGGATTTAAATATCCTTATTTTTTACATTCTCTAAGATTAAAAAAATTTGGTAACAGCTTTACTGAAATATAATTCACCCATATGTGTACAATTCAATGATTCTTAGTACATTCAGAGTTGTGCATCTATCACCACAATCAATTTTAGAATGGTTATATCCCATACCCTTTACCCATCACCCCCAATACCCCTATACTCCCCCTCCACATGCAGCCACTAATCTACTTTGTCTCCATAGACTTGTCTATTCTGAACATTTCACATAAATGCACTTGTACAGAATGTAGTCTTTTGTAACTGGCTTTCATATTGTAGCATGAATCAGTATTTCATTACTTTTATGGTCAAATACTATTTCCTTGTAAGGATTTACCACATTTTGCTTATCCATTCATAAGCTGATGGATATTTTGGTTGTTTTCATCTTTTGGCTATCATGAATAATGCTGCTATGAATATTTATATACATATGATTTCATTTCTCATGGGTACAAACCTATGAGCAAAACTGCTGGGTCAAATGGTAAGTCAATTTTTAACTTTTATTTATTTATTTATTTATTTTTAAGGGGCAGGGTCTTGACTCATTGCCCAGGCTGGTCTCAAACTCCTGGCTTTAAGCAATACTCCTAGCTCAGCCTCCCAAAGTGCTGGGATTACAGGCGTGAGTCATCATTACCTGGCCCTCAATGTTTAACTGTTTGAGGAACTGCCAGACTGTTGTTTTCCAAATTGGCTGCATCATACATTCCCACCAGCACTGTTATGAAGGTTACAATTTCTTCAGATCCTCATCAACACTTGTTACTACCTCTTTTTTTTTTTTAATCATAGCCACCGTAGTGGGTAGGAAGTGGTATCTCATTGTAATTTTAATTTGTATTCCTTAATGATTGATGATGTTGAGCATCTTTTTATGTACTTATTGGCCATTTGTACATCTTTTTTGGGGAAATGTATGTTCAGATCCTTTGCCCATTTTTTAATTGGGTTATCTGTCCTTTTAAGTTGTAGGTCCCTTATCAGACATACAATTTGTGAATATTTTCTCTCATTCTTTACACTTTTTTGGGGGGGGGGGGACAGGATCTCACTCTGTCACCCAGGGCAGAGTGTGATCATGGCTCACTGCAGCCTCCTGGGCTCAAGTGATCTTTCCATCTCGGCCTCCCAAGTAGTGTGACTACAGGCGTGCGCCACCATGCCCAGCTAATTTTTTCTTTTTTGTAGAGATAGGCCTATGTTGCTTAGGCTCATCTTGAACTTCTGGGCTTAAGCAGTCCTCCCGTCTTTGCCTCCTAAAATGTTGGGATTTCAGGTGTGAGCCACCACATCTGGCCCAAAATTTTAAATTTTGATAGTCTAATTTATTTATTTTTATTTTGGTTGCTTGTGCTTTTGGTGTCACATCTAAGAAAACATTGCCCAATGTAAGTTCATGAAGATTTTACCCTTTATTTTCTTTGAAGAGTTTGTTTTAGGTATTTGAACGATTTTGAGTTAATCTTTGTATATTATGTGAGGTGAGGGTGTAATTTTATTCTTCTGCACATGGATATCCAGTTGTCCGAGCACTATTTGTTGAAAAGTCTGCTCTTTTCCCAATTAATTGCTTATGTACCCTTGTCAAAAAGCAATTGACCATAAATGTTAAGGTTTTTTTTCTTTTCTTTTCTTTTCTTTTTGAGATAGGTTCTCACTTTTCACCCAGGTTGGAGTGCAGTGGCGCAATCTTGGCTCACTGCAGCCTCAACCTCCTGGGCTTAAGCGATCCTCACACCTCAGCCCCTCAAGTAGCTAGAACTACAGGTATGTGTTACCATGCCCAGCTAATTTTTTTTTGTATTTTTTTTAGAGACAGGGTTTCAGGATGTTGCCCACACTGGTCTCAAGCTCCTGAGCTCAAACAATCTGCTTGCCTCCACCTCCCAAAGTGCTGGGACTACAGGCATGAACCACTATGCCCTGCTATTCTTGTTACAGTCTGAATGTTTTGTGACCCTCCTCCACCTCAACACATACACATACATACACCACACACACACACACACACACATACAAATTTACATGTTGAAATCCTAACCTCTGGCTTTAGGAGGTGGGATCTTTGGGAAATGATTAGGTCATGAGAGCAGAGCCCTCATGAGTGGGATTAGGGTCCTTGTAAAAGAGGAAAGAGTTAGCTCAGTCACCCCTTCCACAGTAAGAACATGCCCTTCCCAGACAGAAAATCTGCTAGTGCCTTGATCTTGGACTTTCCAGCTTCCAGAAATGTGGAAAATAAATTTGATGTTTACAAGCCACACAGTTTACAGTATTTTGTTACAGCAGCCCAAGCAGACTAAGACAATTCTCAATTCTATTGCACTGACCTATATGTCTATTCTATGCCAGTATCACAGTGTCTTGACTACTACTATTTTGTACAGGTTAAGCATCCCTAATCCAAAAATCCGAAATTCAAAATACTCCAAAATCTAAAGCTTTTTGAGTACCGAGATCCAAAATGTTCCAAAACCTGAAACTTTTGGAGTGCCGACATAGCACTCAAAGGAAATGCTCACGGGAGCATTTTGGGTTTTCAGATTAGGGATATTGAACTGGTAAGTATATAATGATTATAGGTTTTGGAACTGGGGGCTGGGCACGGTGGCTCATGTCTGTAATCCCAGCACTTTGGGAGGCTGAGGAGGGTGGATCTCTTGAGCTCAGGAGTTCAAAAACAGCCTGGGCAACATGACAAAATCCTGTCTCTACAAAAAATACAAAAATTGGCTGGGCGTGGTGGCTTGCACTTGTGGTCCCAGCTACTAGGGAGGCTGAGGTGGGAGGATCACTTGAGCTGGGTGGGTGGGTGGGTGGGGGGCCAAGATCGCAGTGAATCAGGATAGGACCACTGCATTCCAGTCTGGGCAACAGCGAGACTCTGTCTCAAAAAAAAAAAAAAGAAAGAAAGAAAGAAAGAAATTGGGATGTGTGAGTTCTCCAACTTTGCAAACATTTTCGTTTAACTTCAATATTAATTTGGGGTACTTGGTATTATCTCCATTTTACAGATGAAGAAACTAAGGCTTAGAGAAGTTTAGCTTCCCCAGCGATACAAAATTTGATGGCTGCCCCAGGATTCATACTCAAATCTACAAAAATCCACAATAATCCTATAATCTTATCTCAGTCTACCTTCCAGATTTAATTTATACTAATCCCCAAAGGTACCTTCAAATATCCCATAGGCTTTTCTGCCTCCAAACTTCCCGTCCTGTTGCTCCTTCCATCTTGAGGGCCCTGTGCTGTTTCATAAAATTCCCACTCAGAATATTTTCAGTATCATTTAACAAAATGATCTCTTTTCACTCTATTTCCTTAGCACCAGAAGCCTCTCTCATGTTTCTTACTCCATATTATACCTTGCAATAAAGGTATCTCCATATACATAAATATTATTTCCCTTCCTAAGAATAAACACCATGTCTCATTCACCTTTCAATCTCCCCAAAGCCAAAACACAGTACCTGTAGCATGACAGGTACTGTTTTGAATGAACATATGAAATTCTAAAATTATCCCTATTAGAGTGGGCAACAGAGTATGTATGTGTGTGCTGGGGTGATGGGCTGTATGTGTGCGAGAGACAGTCATGGCAAGATTGTAGGAATGAATACCTAGGAAATGTCCTAATCCTGAGAGTATGATAAGAAGAGGATGATACTGGCTGGGCACGGTGTCTCATGCCTGTAATCCTAACACTCTGGGAGTCTGAGGTGGGAGGACTGCTTGAGCCCAGGAGTTTAAGACCAGCCTGGGCAACACAAGGAGGCCCTGTCTTTAGAAAAAACAAAAAGTTAGCTGGGCATGGTGGTATGCACCTGTAAGTCTCAACTACTTGAGAGAATGAAATGGAAGGATCACTTGAACCCAGGAGTCTGAGGCTGCAACGAGCTATGATAATGCCACTGCACTCCAGCCTTGGTGACAGAGCAAGACTGTCTCCAGAAAAAAAAAGGAAAAAAAGGCTGGGCGCAGTGGCTCAAGCCTGTAATCCCAGCACTTTGGGAGGCCGAGGCGGGTCGATCACAAGGTCAGGAGATCGAGACCATCCTGGCTAACATGGTGAAACCCCGTCTCTACTAAAAATACAAAAAACTAGCCGGGCGTGGTGGCGGGCGCCTGTAGTCCCAGCTACTCGGAGGCTGAGGCGGGAGAATGGCGTGAATCTGAGAGGCGGAGCTTGCAGTGAGCTGAGATTGCACCACTGCACTCCAGCCTGGGTGACACAGCGAGACTCCGTCTCAAAAAAAAAAAAAAAAAAAAAAAAAAAGAAAAGGATGACATGAGGCAAATGTGTGACAGAGTGGCAGACCCAGAGAACTGATGCTAATTACTCTGTTAGCAAGAGAGAAACTTCCAGTCTTGAGGTGTTATGTGCAGATGAGTAATACTTGCCAGTGAACAGGAAATAAAACAAGTGACTTGAGAAGCCCCAAACTGAGTTTATTGGGCTATAGAATGGGGGATAAAAAGTAACTCCAGTATATTCAGGTAAAGTCTGATATAGCTTGGGATATCTCAAATACAACACCAGGGCTACTCTAGGGTCAAAAGTCCCCAAGAGAAAACAGGAAAATTAGACATTTCTCTCAAAAAAGCCAGGAAACAGGACAGTATACCAATGCTTACAACCTCATCCATGTTCCCAGTGACTTCCCTGATTTGTCCATTCTTGTACCACTTCAAGTCATCAACATCTTTCCATTTTTTAGCCCAAATTACTGGATGAGAAGAAAGTCTTTTTCAGAAGAATAAGGTGGTTCTCATTCTTCTCCTCAGTGCCATCTGGTTCCAGTCAAAAGGTAAACTTCCTTACAGAGGAAAGTGTTAGGAACTATAAGCTCTGGAAAGACTAACATCAGGGCCTCTTCCCACCCACTCAATCTAATATCCTATCTCTAAAAGGTACTGTGGCTAAACTCTTAGAAACCAGTTACATTGGCTGGGCATGGTGGCTCATGCCTGTAATTCCAGAACTTTGGAAGGTCAAGGCAGGCAGATCACCTGAGGTCAAGGGTTTGATACGAGCCTGGTCAACACGGCGAAACTCTGTCTGTACTGAAAATACAAAAATTAGCCAGGTGTGGTGGTGCGCACCTGTAATCCCAGCTACTAGGGAGGCTGAGGCAGGAGAACCGCTTGAACCCCGGAGGTGGAGGCTGCAGTGAGCCGAGATCGCGCCACTGCACTCTAGACTAGGCAACAGAGCAAGACTCCATCTCAAAAAAAGAAAGAAACTAATTACGTTATACAAAAACTCTCATTCAGCTTAGAATTTTTACCCAAACAGTGAATGAGGTTTAGAATATAATGTTTTTCAAAGTTTGCAAGAATTTGGCATTAGCAGGGTAATTTCATCACAACCTCCCCATTTTCCAGATGTCCAGTCATGATCTATTTAAATCCCACCATCCACTTTCTCTTCTAATTGACTATTATCCAGCTGACAGGAGCTTCCAAGAAACATGATATAATATGCACTGCAGTATACTGGCTGCTTGTTGGGGTTGGAATAGACCTGTTCAGGTTTGAGGGACATGAAAGGATTAGCCCCATAGGCAGTGATGTGTGTATCCAGTTCCACCAGAATCTGCAAAGAGGATACCAACTCCTGATGACTGTAGAAGAGAGAAGAAAAATTACTGATTGTGACAGAGATAAAGAAAAAATTGCCCAAGAGCCTGACATTTCTGTAATCACCAATCCCCCAAATTGCCTAAGGCTGGACTATGCAAGGGCTATCCTTCCCTCCCAAATGTCTCATTAGATACTCAATTAACTAGCAAAGGACTGTCCCAAGGGGATGAAAAAGTCATATGTGGAAAAGAACATCCTCACCAGAAGGTAGATGAGCAAGAGGGGGCAAAATGAGCTCATCTATATAAAGAGAGATGTAAAGTCAGGGAAGTATCACAAATAGGAAGAGGTTAAAACCTGTAAACAGTAATCAATGTAGGAATCTTATAGTCACGAAGTAGCAGCAGGGTGGGCAGCCAAGCCTCCATCAAGTCTGGGGAGGAATGGAAACCTGTGGAACAAAAATGAAAATGGGAATAGGGAAAGACTAAAGCAGACCCTAAGAGCAAGATATTTCTTTGACTGTGAGCACCCCACTCCTCACCTTGCTTATCCCCAATCATTATCATCATTATCATCATCATCATCATCGTCCACTCCAAGTTCTTCGATGAAAAATTCTGAACCCAAGTGTAGTACATATTGCAAATCATCAAGAAAAGTTGTCATCATATTGTGTTTAATGAGACCAAACAAATGGGATTCCAAAGACAGAAGATACAAGATTCAGGATGGAAAATTCTCAGGGAAGCCACCCTCTATTCCCCTGAACCAATGAGTCTTACCTGGATGGAATGCTGCCACCAAATCTGGATGGTCTGTCTGCCCAGTCTCTACTTGCTCCTCCCAGAAGTCATGATAGAGGCCCCTGTGGGCACTAAGCTGAATTGTGCCAGGTTCCAGGGGTGAAGTTGAGGTGCTCTGTGAAAAGCCATTAGCCACGTCTACACCCACCATGACCACACGGAGTCCAAGGTGCCCAGGAAACATGTGGCCAAGTTCATCATAGTCCCCAGGGCGAGTAAGAAATGTCTCCACATGGGAAGCACCAACCACATGCACTGTGCTTCCCCCAATCCTCCTAACATCTATCTCCAAGGCCCTAAGTCCTAGGCCCAGAGTCAAGGGCCGTGACAGGACATCTGTCAGCAGCCGCTTCAAAGATCCCTGCAGGACATCTGGGTCTGGCCTTGGCCGTCCTACACTGGCCCATAAAGTGGTCACGGGATGACTGACTAGCACAGCATCCAGTGTAGCATCTAGGTGTAACCCCTTCATAGAAAACCAGGAGTCCCAGTCCTGTACAGCTTCAGGGGGCCATGGCCAAGGTCCTGAGGGTAGGACAAAATCACCTGTAGGAAAGAAGAAATAAGAAGTAACCTAACGCTTTCCTGGCTTCAAAATTTGCCCCTCACTAATGATCAATATTCCCTCCATGTTCACTCTGCCAACCTGTGAGCAGGGGTGCCCCAACCTTTGCCCCACTTCCTCATTTTTTCGTAACAATATGATTTTGTATCTTCCTTTAAATACAATCAACTATGACCATTACAGCAGAGTTCCTCAACACCACCACTCCACCTGTGACCAGAAGCCATTCCATGAGACGGTCCACGGCCACAAGACGAAGCTCTTGACAAACCCTCCTGTGTGCAGGCCAGTCTGACCTCTGGCACTCCGGACCACAGTAATAGACATTTCTGCACCTGAGACAATGAGAGAGAAATAATTCTTATACTATAAATGTGATTGGGGTTATCTGAGGAAAGGAACTGATATTCCTGCACCTAGGATGGTGAATAAGGAAGGTAGGGAGAGGAATGACAGCTGATGCACCAATTTTGGGGACTACATTTGGCAGACAAGGCAGGAGGGATTGGGAATATAATTATTCTGCCAGACAGAGTGATACCTTACTCTCTATTTGGAACTTTTTATATCACTATTAGAAAAAACACCACGAGTTTGCAGCTGTCCTCTCATAACAGGTATGGTTCAACCCCCACCTCCCCAGAACAAATGTAGTCTTACTCCTTGAGTACTTGAGAGAGAGATAGAGAGGACTGTATTGTGGTTTCTTGTCTCACTTCCCAGTAACACCAAAAATAAGCAGGGTTAGAACATTGTTCTAATCTCTGTAACCTGGATGACAAAAAATGAGGACCTAAGCCTTAGGTTATTTTGAAAACTTTCAGATCTTTCCTCTTGGAATGAGGTCGTAGTACAGGAACCTCTGCCTCCTGGGTTCAAGCAATTCTCCCACCTCAGCCTTTCGAGTAGCTGAGACTACAGGTGTGTGCCCGCACACCGGGCTAATTTTTGTATTTTTAGTAGAGACAGGGTTTTGCCATGTTGGCCAGGCTGGCCTCATGTGATCTACCCGCCTCGGCCTCCCAAAGTGCTGGGATTACAGGCATGAGTCATCATGTCCGGCTAGTACAGGATCATTTCTGAATGTCTCCCGATTAGCACCCCTACAAGTCACCTCTTACAGTGCCGGAGAACCTTGGAGTCTGAAAGGCCACTAGGGAGTACTCTACAGTGAGCACAGAATCGAAATGTGTCTTCCATCCTCTGGAACATTTCTTGAGGACATCGAAATCCAAAGCCTGATACAGGGGTACCCCCATCTACCACCAACCTGCAGAGACAGCATGGAGAAGGAATGGCAGTGGGCAAAGGAGTATCTCCAAAATCTCTCATGCCCCTCATCTTGTCTCCTACACATTTCCACTTACTCCTACGTCTCTCACTGCCATCATTTTTCACTTAAGTGAATATTTCTTCTTTTATAGTAATATAGTAACTGGCAAAAGTCAGGATGAGAAAATAGCTTATTGCAAATACTTCATATTCCCCAAACTGTACTCCCTCTCCACCTTCTGAAATTTACTTCTACCAGAGACAATATATCCCTCTTCCATAGAGCTGGTCACTCACTTGTATTCTTCATAGCTTTTCATGTTCAGCTTTTGAAGGATCAGCTGCGATAGGCCAGGAACATTATCATCCAAGGAGAAGAAGCCAAGTGTGTCAATGCTAGGGCCCGGTTTTGAGGGGGTCAGAGGCATAGGGGTCACAATTGTGGTTGGGGTCATAATGATGGGAGCCACTGATGAGGGAGGTTTCCTGTGCCTTCGTCGCCGGGACCGTGGAGCCATGGCCTGTCCAGTGATACGTGGAGACTATATGCAGAACAGACATGGAATAGAATTTTACAAGCTGGACACATGTGAAGTGTTTTCATATGCTTGACCTTTCACTTCTCATTCAAGTCTCTCACACCCAGGTTATCAGTAAGATTTATTCAGTATTTACTGGTTATTGATCACCATAGGCAGCTGTGAAAAATAGAGAAAAAAGAGTTTGTTGTTGTTTTTTGAGATAGAGTCTCGCTCTGTCGCCCAGGCTGGAGTGCAGCAGAGCAATCTCAGCTCACTCCTCCACCCAGCCTCCAGTGTAGCTGGGACTATGGGCAGGCGCCACCATACCTGGCTAATTTTTGTACTTTTTAGTAGAGATGGGGTTTCACCATGTTGGTGAGGCTGGTCTCAAACTCCTGACCTCAGGTGATCCACCCACCTTGGCCTCCCAAAGTGCTAGGATTACAGGCTTGAGCCACTGCGCCCAGCCGAGAAGAAACAATTTTATATGAATATAATTTATACATATTAAGTCCCATTTTATATATATATATGTGTATGTATATACATATGTATATGTGTATATATACGTGTGTGTGTGTGTGTGTGTATATATATGTAAATAAATGCATAAAAAAAATTTGACAGGGCCCATAGAAAACTGGTAACAGTGATTAACTCTGAGTAGGGTAAGAAGCCAGTTAAATAGGAACTGGGCTGATCGAACGCGACTGTATACTTATCTGTAATGTTTGACTTTTTTTATCAGGAGAAAATGTTACTATATCTTTAGTGTATTTTAAAACTCAATTTAAAAGAGGAAAAAGCAATAGAAGTTTTAGTTGTCCAAAGCAATCATCCAATTGGAGACTTAGACAATTTAATCTAGTTAGAGAGAGAAAACATTTTGAAACACCTATTATCACATTTATAAACAATTTGCCAAGTAAAAATTAAATGTAATACAAAACGTGCACTAAGAGTTATGTAGTCAAGCAAGTCAGAAAAATTTCCTACAGTGGTTAAGTTTTGAGGTAGAAATAAGCCTACACTCAGTCACTATCTGGCTGTGACTCTGTGCTGTCCTCCTTCCCTGTCTCATCTTCTCCCATGCCTTCCATAAGAGCTGAGGAAACAGGAAGGACCATATGAGAAAAATTAAAATGTCCATTCATGTAATATGTATTTACTGATAAACAGATGAAATCATCTGCAAAACACTCTATATAGAAGCAAAAATGAAAAATATATATCTCATCTAAAAGTCTTGTAGGGAAATTAGATATAGACTATAAGGTACTACATAAATCCAACCAGAAAAGTGCAACTAAAGCACTAATGGGAGATCAGAAAAAGAAATCTCTCCAGTGGGTGAGAATTTCTTCAGTGGCTTTCTTCATGAAGCAGGTAGCAGTTGGAATAGACCTTGAAAGATGGGAATACTTTGAATACTTGGAAATAGGGAAAAAATTCTAAGCACAGAGGAGAGAATAAACACAGAAATATGGACAGAAACATTCTGCAAATTAATGAAACAGAATGACTTGAGTTTGAACGTTTAAAGTATAAAGACCTAAACTTTAGAAGTAAAAAGTCTATAAAAGTCTATGGGGGAAAGGTTCATGACATAGGTTTTGGCAATAATTTCTAGGATATGACACCAAAAGCACAGGCAACACCACCACCAGCAAAATAGATAAATTGGACAGCAAAACTGAAAACTTTTGTGCATCAAAAGATGCTAACAGCAGAGTCAAATGACACCCCAAAGAATGGAAGAAAATATTTGCACGCCATATATCTGGTAAGGTGTTAGTATCCAGAATATATAAAGAATTCCCACAACTCAATAACAAAGAACAAACAAAAAAACCACCAAACAACCCAACTAAAAAATTGGGCAAAATATGTGAATAGACATTTTCCCAAAGAATATATGCAAATGGACAATAAACACAAGAAAATAAGGTCAATAGTCATTAGGAAAATGCAAATCAGAGCAACAGTGAGCTATCACTTCATACCCACTAGTATGGCTATTATCAAAAAAACAGAAAATAACAAGTGTTGATGAGGATATGGAGTAATTTGAACCCTCATACACTACAGGTAAGAATGTTAAATAGTGCCACCACTATAGAAAACAGTATGGCAGTTCCCCAAAAAGTTAACATAATATTACTATATAACCAGAAATTTCATTCTTAGGTATGTGCCCAAAATATTTAAAAAGAGATACTCAAACCAATATTTATAAGTGAATGTTCATAGCAGCACTATTCACAACAGCTAAAAGGTAGAAACAACCCAAAAAGGTCTATCAATGGATAAATGGATAAACAAATTAGGATATAAATATACATATGAAGATGTATATTATTCAGCTATAAAAAGAAATACTGATACATGCTACAATGTAGATGAACTTCAAAAAACATTATGCTAAGTGAAGAAAGCCAGACACAAAAGGTTATATACATGTTGTATGATGCCGTTTCTATGAAATATGTAAACAGGTAAACCCAGACACATAAGGCAGATCGGTAGTTGCTAAGGGTTGGGTGGAAGGAAAAATGAGGAGTAACTGCTTAATGGTTATGGGGTCTTCTTTTGGGGTGATAAAAATGTTTTGAAACAAGACAAAAATGGTGGTTGCGCAATACTGTGAATATACTAAATGCCATTTAATTGCTCACTTTAAAATTACTAATTTTATGTTATATGATTTTCACTTCAATTAAAAAAGAAAGGAAGGTATTCATAGAAACTGAGAGGCTAAAAAGTTATTAATCCCCAGATTAACTGTCTTCAGGTACAGAGAAATGATAGAGGATTAAAAATGCTGGCCATATGAATGAGGTAACTGTTAAAGTTCAAACCAGGGATCATGTTTTGTTACAAAAATGATCTGACATTTGATCCTTCTAGATCAGATCTGTTAGGAAAAACCTCAGAATCATCATGCAGCTGAGGTGTATGCAGGTGGCAAAAACAAACAAAAAGCTCCCAGAATTATCTAGCTCATATCCATATCTTACAACATGACTCTTAAAAACCCATCCTCAGGTTAATGGAGGAATAAATTTGTATTTTCCTTTGTACTTTCTTTCTCCTCATCCTTACGTTTCCATCTACTCTCTTAATATCTCCCCTTATCCCAAGGGTGAATGGATGGTTTCAGAGTCCACAGAACAGAAATAGCCAAGCTCACCTGTATACCATATCCTATATATTACCTTCAATGAAGAAGAAATTGGACCTAATGATATTAGATTATCTTAGGGTTTAAGGGTCATGTCCTTTTAGTAAAAGAGTAGATGGAATTGCCCTTCATACTTTAGGACCCCATTTCCAACAACTAACCTCATTCTCTCCTCTACTTTTAATCACCTCACATTCTCATTGCATTTTCAGAATCACTGCCATTCTAGAAAAAGCATTTATCTACTCTACCCACCCACCTCAGGCAAGATAATACTTTCTTTTTCTTTCTTTTTTTTTTTTTGAGACGGAGTCTCACTCTGTCACCCAGGCTGGAGGGCAGTGGTGCGATCTTGGCTCACTGCAACCTCCACCTCCCGGGTTCCAGTGATTCTCCTGCCTCAGTCTCCTGAGTAGCTGAGATTACAGGCTCGCACCACCACGCCTGGCTAATTTTTGTATTTTTAGTAGAGACGGGGTTTCACCACATTGGTCAGGCTGGTCTCGAACTCCTGATCTCGTGATCCGCCTGCCTCAACTTCCCAAAGTGCTGGGATTACAGGCGTGAGCCACAGCACCCGGCCAAGATAACACTTTCTTAAACCTTGAAAGAATGGACTTTTTTTTTTTTTTTAATAGGTATGGAAGGAGAAGTGTGATTTAAGACAACTCTAGGGTCTTAAGTCCCAGAATTTGTAATAGATATCTCCCTGAGGTTAAAACATAAGCCTTTTTGCTGCAATGGAAGCAAGTCACTTAAAGTCAGCAAGGTACTGCTTTATTTATCTGCATTTCCAAGGAGAGGTCTTCTTCTAATGGAAGATTAGCTCTTGGCAATCTGGGAGTTGGTTGAACTGGTTAGAAAGCAGAAGTATCACACAGTTTGGGGAAGAGGAGTGGTGGTAAAAAATCCCTAATGTCACAGTCTCCTCTGTGTCTAGAGCACAATGTTCGTGATACAAATGAGTTAGCTTTCTGGCAGAAAAGAAGGTGGGTGAGAAGCCAGGTCTTTGATCTGCATCTATATATATCATCAGGTTCATGTTTGAGTTTGTATACCCCAGGCCCAGACACAGCTTCCCTGGTTCTAATTTTCCTGCAAAGAGCCCCAGGCTTCTCCCTGTTTATGGGTTATAAACTGAGAGAAACAAAGGAAAAAACAGGGGACACACGGGAGAAGCTGGAAAGAACTGCAATAAGCTCTTTGAACTTTCCAGAGTCCAGAATGTTCTCCACTTAGAAAGGGAATCCCTTTCATTTTTTTCTAGCCATCCCCAGTGACTTAGGCTCTAATTTAGTCCCAGTATGAGGGAGAGAACACCAACACCAAGAACTGGAGAGGAGAGGAGAGGAGACACGATCTTGATTGCCTAGAAAAACTTTTATCCTTCATATCCAAATTACAAGTCAAAATATTAATCTATTCCTAGACCTAGGTTTCCCATCTTCTGCTTTACCACCAAGAGTCCCAAGCTTCACCTAAACTACAGTCATATTTTCACTATCTGCAGATAAGGAGTGCTCATCTAATTTTCTGTAAGTCACCAAAAAATGCAAAACATCTTTGGGAAGGTAGGGAGAAGGGAGAGTGAAACTGGTCATTGGAGATCCTTATAAGGTGGCAGGAAAAGAAAAGGAGAAATGCATTAAGGACACTGTAATTACGGCCACATTCAGCTGTTTAATCAGTGATTAACACTGCCTGGGGTGATAAATACTTTACTCAATTATAAACCAAGCAAGCAGACAGGTTGACGGAAAAAACTTACCCTGCTAAGTCCTCAGCTTCCTTCCTTCTCTCTTTCCTCCAAGTGAAGTGAGTGCTTGATCTCTTCAGATCTAGGCTGTGACTTACTTGCAGCTGTCCCTTCATATCACTTTCCTTTGCAAACTGCTGAAATGCTGAGTCTCAGTGATTAAGTGTGCCCTGCCAACCAGACAGACAAGGCTGAATTCTCCCTAATGAGGCAAAGAGAGATCTGTCCCCCTGCCTGAGGGCTTCTCTCTTTCTAACCTTTGTTCTCTGCCAAGAGGGCTCAGGACTGTCAACACTCCCAAGTGTTAGCCAAGTAAAGGCCAGGCAGACTGACAAAAAATGAAACCTACTGCTTCCTAGATTTCTCTCACTCAAGGCAATATTTCTGTTTTCAGTTTACAGCTTCAGAAAAAAAACCCTTTGGATTAGTGCAGAAGTCAATATTTGATTGGAAAGGGTAAGCACCTTTCAAACCACGTGGGAGGAACCAGAGGATCAGGAATCCTCCGGAGTTCTATTTGTTGATCTAGACACAGGATGAGTTCCCCCAGGCCCAGTGTCCTTTTTTAGCATAACAAACACTGTTCAAACAAAACTCAACAATGTCCAATCTTGGACTAAGTAGAAGGGAGAAAATAAATAGCCATTTAATGATACAGAATGAAATCAGTTGTAGGGGAAACATGCAGAATTAACTTGTAAAATTCACTTTCCCTGAAAGAAGGGTAAGGTAAACTCTCTGAGTGAGTGTCATCAGGAGCACTTTACCTGTTTAAGAGAGGAATAAATGCTTCTGGGATATTAAACAAAACCAAAATATTAGTTAATGACTAAAAATACACACTATTTCCAGGAAAAGAAAATAGAAAAGAATCAGCTCAACCATTCTCTTATCCTCCTTGTAATCGCAGCTGATGCAGGAAATTCAATTCCACATTCCTAGCTTCTTTCTACTTACAGATATCCTATCTGATGTTGTTAGGGCAGTGGTCTTAAAAGACTGCAAGATATGACTTTCTTACCCCCTCCAAAAAATTTTTTTTTTAATTTTTAAATAAAAAAGTTCTGACTTTCTGCTTATATCTGGCCCCAGCTCTCACTTACCTGCTTCTGTGAACATCATCAAACTGTGGAACAGAATCACTTGCAATGAGGTCCCGGAATGTGGCAAATCAAATCCACACAGGAACCCCAAACTGCAGAAAGTACAAACTACACGCAGGCAAGGTGCAAGAAAAGTGTTAAGGATTCAACCAAACACTGCATAACATTATGTAGAACAGCTGTGGATAAAGGAAAATCAGTTGCAATAGGCAAAAACCCTAAATAAAATAGGGGTAATTCACTTTGAGCAAAAGTTTAGGCCAACTTCAAATTTAACGGGCTTCAAAATTTAGCTGAGAACCTCAAATGTTAGTTCTGTTAATAATGGCTGAACTGCAGAAGATACAAGACATCAGAGATTGACTTTTCTAATTCAGAAGTTGTCAATGAATATAAAGGAGAATGGTAATATAGAAAAACTTTGATGTTGAATACTTATATTTTACCATCACTGACTTGCTCTGGTAGACATTTAAAGTTACAATTTAAAAAGTCTGAACTTTTCACAATTTGTATTCATCATTAGTTGTATTTTAAAAATCTTAATAAATGGTATGTTCTGAAACGAATTATGAAGAAAGACTAGAAAGAGGTTCCTATTCAACATGTAGTAAGTGGTCTGTGAGCCACTGTGTGATACTTTATCACTCTTCAGGTATATTGCTTTTCCTGAGTGTGGTTCCTTTCTCTTATTTTCCTCTTTTTACCATCAATCCATAGTTTTTTTGCTGATAGTACTTAATGCTCACCCATGATTCCCACAAACACTATATAATGCTAGTTATGCATCTAAGGGCTAAGGAAGTTCCTGGCACCTGATATACTAGTTAAACTCTTACTTTATTTACTTTTTAATTTTTCTATTGGGTCTATGTTAGCCAGATAAACTCTTTACTGAATAGCTTTCATAAAACAACATCAACAACAATCTTTAAGGTATGCAATGCATAACCTTAGAGCAAACTCATGGACTGCTTTGTAAGTTAACATTATGGCAAGCAGAGAGTTATAATAATTAACAATTTGTGGCCAGGCATGGTGGCTCATGCCTGTAATCCCAGCACTTTGGGAGGCTGAGGCGGGTGGATCACGAGGTCAGGAGTTTGAGACCAGCCTGGCCAACATGGTGAAACCCTGTCTCTACTAAAAATACAAAAATTAGCTGGGCGTGGTGGTGGGCGCCTGTAGTCCCAGGTACTCGGGAGGCCAAGGCAGAAGAATCACTTGAACCCACGAGGTGGAGGTTGCAGTGAGTTGAGATCATGCCACTGCATTCCAGCCTGGGTGACAGAGCGAGACTCCGTCTCTCAAAAAAAAAAAAAAAAAAAAGAAAAAGACAAAAGAAAACTATTTGAGAAGTTCTGTGTTACCTGGAATTAGGCAAGTACGTGTATGTGTGTGTGCATGCACACTTGCCTAATATATTTACATGTATATATTTTGTTTATTTTTAAGGGATGGGGTCTCACTCTGTCACCCATGCTGGAGTACAGTGGTACAATCATAGCTCAACACACAGCTTGCAACCATGAGCTTCTAGGCTCAAGCAATCCTCTGTCTCAGCCTCCCAAAGTGTTTGGATTACAGGCATGAGCCACTGTGCTGTGCCTATATTTTGACTTAATGTTTTATAATGTATCTCATTGTAATTATTGTTGAGACTGTAATTCAAGTTATTGTATTATATTATTATATAATTTTGAGCAATATCCTAATATCCCTCAATGTGCAAAATCCTATACTTACTTTGATTATGACAAAGAAGAAAGGAATAAGATAGGAAAATGCAATTATCACTAATATTTTTTCTTGTTGTTAGAATACCCAGTAAATTCGCAACACCACTATAACAAAATTCTAGATAATAACATATTTTCTTTCAATTAAAAGATAATAAACAGTGATCTTAAATATTAGATTTAGGAGGCCTATTGTAGGCATATAAAGTCCTCTAATACTCAGTTACTAATGCTCATGTAAAACAAGTATATAACAAAAGTTTTTTTTTAAGGCAAAATTTATAAAGAATTTAATTAATCAAATCACCATGAACTATCCACGAGACAATCTCCGGAGGATATCCCAGCTCTAGTAACAGGATTCTCTGATTTGCATCAAAAGGCCAAATCAGACTGCATCTTCCAAATAAAACCCAACACAGAGATAGGAGCAGCGGCCCATGCATGGAATTTATTGTGTGCTACTGTTTATAAAATACTCGAATAGTCCTGCACATGCATAATATTTCCAACTTAGACAGGAGACCATACAGGGTGCACTTTCTGGCAAACAAAACAACAGATGGTTCCGCTGCCTGGAGCTCTGAGTTGTATTCCAGGGCATGAGGGAAGCAGGCCACCAAAGTAAAGGGAAATACCAAACTACAGTGGCAATCAATACAGGTCAATAATTGTGAAAAATTAGCACATGGTTCCATTTAGTTTAACCAAGCAGTTCAGTAACTATCAAAAGAAAAGTTTCAACATGCAGTCTTGACTTTTATGCTTCCACTAACATCTGAATGATTGAACAGAACCATTGCTTCTAGGCTGCATTGCTTAATCAAAAACACTTCCAGAACATTTTAAAATTTCCTTTGCATTAAAACATAAAAATGATAGAAAGCCAGCAGCAAATCACCCTGGTGGCTATTTAAGCAACTTGAGTACTCACAATAAACTAAAATTTCTCATAACATCTAGGTAACCTATACATGTCGTACCTGTACATCATAGGTCTATATATTAAATATTTGCAAAATGAAAACATGCATACACAAAATACGTCAAGTTTTACAGACATGATTTGAATTAAAATTTACTTTGACAATGTACAAACTTCTTTTAAAGTACCTTAAATGAGTAATTCTGTAATTCTTCATAATTTTTGAAATTTAGAGGTTTTCTTCTTAAATATCTGGGGGGTAAATCTTAAAAGATCTGGGCAAAAAAGATTCTAAATTAGTTTTTGGATTTGTGTTCAAGTAAGAGAGCCTGCCTAGAAATAGGATATGCATTCATAATTAAAAAATACCAAGACTATGTTACAGAATTAGCCACATTTAAGAACTATAGACCTGAGGTCAACATTTTGTATAAATGCCAACTGGGTTTCTCGGCATTTTGCTCACAATTCAAAATACAGCTAGTAACCTCAGAAATGTATTTTAAGACCATGCTAATTCATCCTTTAAAGACATTTCATGGAAAAAGAAAAGTCCACATTAGCTCTTAGGATTGCATTTGAAATCCTGATTGAAAAACAAAATCTAATTCTACCGAAGGGGAAAAGAAATCTGATTTGTAAACTTAAATGTGTGAACCACAAGCATAAAATGGAGGTGTGGATGCCCTCCACTGGAAATTGCCCCAAGCCCCTTGCTCACTGCTCTCCACCTTGGCAGCGATGACCCAATCTTATCAGATAGCACATGTCCCAGGGCCCTCAAGCCTCCATCCAGGAAGGGGGCTGGGGTCTCAGAAGCACAATGGTTTCTTCAGAGGGACTGTGACATTTACAGTCAGCTTGGCCGACCCCTCCAGCTCCTCGGGTGATCTGTCCATTTGGGGCCCGAGATGTGAGAGTCCCTGGGAAGTCGTGGGTCACTGGGCAGTATGGTTGCCCGTCCCGTGGTTGTCAGTGGCATGTGCGGTGTTCAGAGAATTGAAACCATCTTGCTGTACAGCATCTTTCCGAGGTGGCATTCTCTCATTGATCCTATCCAAACCCTTTGCCTCTTCAAAACTGCAGATTCTATGTGGTGGAGAGAATCCTCGTATTGCTTAACAAAATGCAAATTTGATAAGTCAGTAATTGAAAAACATTTCTGAGATTTCAAAACATAATTAATGATTTTTAAGAAGAAAGAAATTAGTAGCTGTAAGTAGCAACACTTAAATCTTACTTTAACTGAATCCTATCCTCATTTCAGTCTTCCCTTAAAATGTGAAATGCTTAAACCTAAATATAAACATGATAGCTTCACAGGTGACAAGTGTTAGCAAAGCCTTCCAAAAAATAAAAATCCAAAAAAATGTTAACCCTCTCCTGCCCCCAAAACCAACCTCCAGGCAATGGTCTCAGGGTCTGTCTGACTTCTACTATACCAATTATCTCCTACGTTAGTCCCTAAGATCACCAGTGACTATAACAGTAAGGCAGCAACGAGAGTAGGGGCAAGTGAGGAGGCTAAACAAGGTTAATCCTCAATATACAAATCTGTACCAAGAGCTTGGGAGGAGAAAGAGGTAAAGAAAGGTTAAAATATAGTAGATCAGAACTATCTTGGAGGTCAAGATCAGCCCATCACCACCAATATAACATTAAAAAGGTGGGAAGTGCCTCCAAGAGTTAGATCTGTGTATGGCTGATAGCAAAAAAGTATTTATAATCTCTTATTTTAGGAGATGTTTTCCTTAATTCACTGGCCATACTGCACAATCTTTGGGAACTCAAATCAAAATAAATGGCAATTCTCCACCAATTGTATGGTTTCTCATTCACTTCATCTAGAACGATGCATCCTCCATTATTAACATGTTCACAGGAAATATTTTCAAACCACTAGTTATAATCTGGTTGCTTAATATCTGCAATCCCTAGGACTTAGTCTGGCACATGAACCAAACAAATGGCTGGGGCTACAAACACTGAGGAATGTGAAATACCAAGCCAACACATGATATGTATGAACATAATCTTATCCATAAACTATAGCCCAAACTGCAGCCAAAAAAAAAAAAAAAGAAAAGAAAATCATTATAGTGACAGTTCCTGTATTCTCAGCCAGGCACACTACTGGATATGAGTAAAAAACTCACACCTATATCTAGAGGAGGTTTCACTTAAGGAAAAAAATCTGAGTAGCATAGAATCATGCAAAATATGGAACAGATCTCTATTTGCAGGTCAGTTTGGCAATTTCCATTAAAACAGGCAACTTTATAAAGCTATACTGTATAGCATAATATGCTATACTCTAAATAAATCAGAAACATTACATTCTGATTGCATATTACACTGGAAAAAAGAAAAAGACTGTCACCATAGACATCAGCCCTTCTGATTTAAAAATGAAAAATAAAAAAAAGAGGGCTGCAAGGCTTCTAAACTTGATGAATCAGTGAGTCTGATTCATCTTGGGCTGTAAAAACTAGGAGTAAAACACACCCATAGGACATTCTCTGATGCCCACCCACACACCACAGATCTCTGCCCAGCACAAGGACTCTGATCATACCTTTTTCAGCCTCAATAGCCTCAACTGTGGCTGTACAGAAGTGAGCAGAGGCATGCAAAATGAATGAGAGAGATGAGAAGGGTCATATTGTACAGCAGAAAAGGCAATGATCACTTAAAATATCACAGTATCCCATACTACATCATCATTTACAATTTAACATAAATAGTACCCAAATTAGAGAGCCCCATCCAAACCCCCAATTCCTGACACAGCACAGTTTACACACAGCACTATGACAACATCACTCAGAGCACAGAACACATAAACCTACTGTAAACAGACACCTCAGCACCCATGCAAATGCACTCCAGTATTAATTACCCATCTTGAATCAGTAATTTGATGGCCTTAGAATTTTCCATAATGTTTATTATATCCCATCCATCACAATCACAGAAAAATGCTCTAGAGTGAAATTATAATAGAATTATAGCAGAAAAGCAAACAGAAAAGTCTTTTCTTTCATGTCAATGAGAACAATACTCATTACCAGTTGGTTCCCTAAGACATAAACTAGAAGGGGTCAGCAGTGCTTTACCTGTCACTTCTAATTTATAAGGCAAAACATAAGCTGCAAGGGCTGATATGACTACAGTGAAATTTAAGGGCAGTAAACTTGGTGAATTACTCTAAGTAGAACAGTTCCAGTTCTGTGGCTCTGTTCTTTGTCAGGGACCTGAAAGGGCTTCTCCTGTCTACCAGGAACTTCCTTTCTATTCTAGTACTGATGTTCCAAATACCTACAGATACTAACATCTATAGCCTTAAAAAATTCCATTTATACTGACACAGTTTATCATGAACTCAAATTTGTCTCAGGAAGACTACTGAGCATCTTTTCAAACTCATCTA